CTACCCAATCACTATTCAGTTCCCCAGTGAACGGCACTTTCACTCTAAAAGAGCTGAATCAGAAAATGCCGTTACTTTCACTCTAAAAGAGCTGAATCAGAACACAACTCATTTGGAATTCCTTTCAATTCCAAATGTTTTAAAAGACACTACACATTGAGTAATACTCAGTGGAACACATGACAGAAATAAAAAATATATAAAAGCAGGAGAAGGGGAAAAAAATCACTTTGGACGGACCACACTCAAATGTATGATTTCATTTGTCTTCATGTTTCCTCCTCCTCTTTTCTCTCCGTCTGTCTTTCTTCTTGGTCTTTCATGTTCACATCAGAGGAGTGTGCCACTTATCACAGAGGTCCTGAGAGGCTCTCCTATAAAAGCTGGTATTATATGGCTGATTTAACAGGGCAAGCACACAAAGACATCTCTATCTCTGTCCCCCCGTCTGTACCATATCCCCTCGTCCCTGTTCCATTTTCAAACACAGAAGTAATGTCACTCACTCATGGAGCCCGCCCTCTTCTGTGTACGGTATGTACACACACATACTGTATATTGACCTGCCTCTGCTCTTGTACTCCCACAATGGGATTAGTGGGGTGGGCCCTCAACTCTTTTAACTTGAAAGACCACCACTAGTAATAGACTGCACAGAAGTGGAGAGAAATAACAGGAAGGAAGGAAGAAAGGAAGGAAGAAGGAGAGAGAGCGAGAGAAAAGGTAGGAAGAAGGGAAGAAGGGAAGGAGGGGAGGAGGGAGGATGAACTGAACGAATTACGAAAAATGACGTTGCAGTTTGATACAAATAGACAAAAATGACAAGGAAAAGAAGGAAAGTGTAAGAATCGGGGGGTAGAAAAGGAATAAAGGAGGAGACGGGTGAAAAAATGAAGGAGAAAGGAGAGAGGAATGGAGGGGTAACAGAGGAGGAAATAAAGGAAGTCATTCGAATGGAGGGGTGAAGCCGGGAAGGAAGAAATAAAGAAAGAAAGGAATAGAGTGAGGGAGGACAGGAGGGAAGAAAGGGAATAAAGAAGGAAGGGAAAGGGAAAAGAAGAACAAAAGGATGGGAGGATGAAGGAAAGAAAGAAAGGAAAGCGTGAAAGTGGCTATTTAACGAGCAAAGGTGTAATTGAAGGCAATAAGACAACAGCCAATCAAGAAAGGACAGAATAATAAAATGGGTAGAGACAGAAGGGTGGCAGGATAAAGAAAGAAAATGACTTGATATGAACCTGTGCTGGATGTTGGAGTCACAAGATGATTCCCGGCCCGTGGTGAAACCATCACTCTGTACCTTACAAGGACATGCACAAGTGCACTTGTTGCCAGGGTGACTCCAGATACCAGAGACCCCACCCTCCCCTGTGGTGCTTCTCACAATGATGTCATCAGCTGCCGCCAGCACCGGCTCTGCCCTTATCCAAGTGGACAAAGGCACCAGAGGGTGCAGCTTGTCCTTGTCTGCTTTTCTTTTGCTTTCTTTTTCTTTCCCTCCCTCTCTCGTACATTCATCAGGTGCTCTCTTGCTCACCCTCACATTCTCAGGCCCCAGTCTCTCTTTGAGTCATTCAACCCAACAGCAGGACGCAGCAGAAGTTAAAGGTCCAGATCGTTTACTGCTGACAGAGAGTGAAGCTCATTTTAACAGCAGGAAGAATATTTCACAGCAGGGGAGGCTACAGCGATTGTACCAGTGAACTGAAGGCTACGGATACAAGTTCATTTGTTACTCAGATCCACTTCCTGTCACAGCATCTTTCATTTTTCAACACAAATTCTAATTCATTAAAAAAAAAGAATAGAAGTAGTGGGAGTGATGGGGGATTCACTGCCAACTTTTTTGTAAATCATTGTGATAGGTAATGATGAAAACAATACATTTTGTGGCTACAGTAAAACTTTGTCTGCAGCAGATTCACAGGTAATGTTAGACCAAAGTGAAAATCCAGGTACCTGGGTTTTGCATATAATGCAGATCTAATCCCATAGATTAGAATCCCTTCCTTCAAACTACCTTGAAATACATCCACCACTGATATTGAATTAGTGCTCCCTCATAGTACATGTTGAGCATACAGGTTTTTGGTCATGGCTAATTTGCGATCTCAGTTGTTCCTGTCAAAGGGAATGCTCTTGTTTGTTTGTTTATTAAGTATAATTAAACTAAATTACGTTCTGAGCATAAAATTCAGTTCATGGACCTTGGCTGATATTTAAATAAAATAGTTTGGCGTTAAATTATTTATACTTCAAGTACCCACAGGAGTACATGTACCTCCCTATGAGAGTGGTTGTGATGGAGGGGTCGTGCACCCGCCTGCTCTAGGGAGTACATTTATAGGAACACTACACCACAAGACTCACAGTCAAATAATAATTTGTAAACCATACCAATATTTTGAATTTATTTTGCCTTCCAGTCCAATCAGACTGTCTGGCTCCATTTATTTCCAGGCAAAATATAAACTTTGGTCACCGCGCTGGACATGCACTGGTCACTGCAATATTTGAATTTTTAATAATAGTCAAAAAGACACATTGCAACCTACTCCACATTATAACACTGTTGCATGTGTTTGCAGTTTAAATGTTTGCAGCCTGAAGGAAAAGTGCAGCATCAGACACACAGCAGGGGCTCTCTGTGACTACTTGACTCACTGAAGTGTTATTTTACTCCTCTTTCTCTGCAGGGATGGATGCCCTTTTCTCATTGCATTCCCTGCTGCGAGCTTCTCACTATCTGCTGTCAGAGTCTGAATACCTCTCTTGCCAAAAGACATTTCTCTTCTGCACACAGATCTTGCTAAAAGAAATGAATAAAAAACCACATTGCCATTCCTGGAGGATGTGTGACGTACATTATTTGAGCAGTAGAGAAGTCATTCTCAAAAGAAGAGAAGAAAAGCTGATTCAATGGAAACGGAATTTTACGGAAAACTCATTGCCAAGTTCCCTCTAAAGCGTGCGCTGCTCGAATATTCTCAGCGCACAAGAAAATCTGTGCAGCGCATAAAATAAAATTCAACATAAACTGTGTAGTACGTATTACATTTATTAACCATTGATCCCAAGAATAGCGTAATGATGTATCTCACTGAGTGACAGGGGCCCAGCCAATGATACGAGATGGTTCACTTACACTACGCAGCCAATCATACCATTGACAGCACTTACATATGTGCCTACAGTATGTAGCTAGGTAGGTAACAATGGTGCCTAGCTACATAGGCACATATGTAGCACATATCGTTGTTAAATGCTAACGACCGGGTTAGTCAAAATAAAAAAGAATTATTTTCAGATGGAATGGCTGTCGGCGTACATGCAAACAGAAGAACAAGTGGTAATAGGTTTTTTTTCCCCCGAGTAAGAAAGGTCTGCTTTGAAAAACATGCAGCAAAGCCAAAGCAGCAAACGAGCTTACCATCAACAGACGTGAAAAATAAGGTTGAATTTAAAAGTTAGATCAGTGACATTTCTTAAGATTTTCCATGTATGGATATTTATAAATAAATGCTGTTACTACTAGATAATTTATGGGTAGTACGAATGCTAATAAAAAACTGTGTAATTATATTTTGCAGACTAAGTTTTACAGGAATTTACATCGTATCACAAGCTACAGCAGAGTTTAATGTCAATGCAACCTAACGGCTCCAGTGGGAAAAAAGGAAAAAACATGTGTGAGGGGAACCGTCCACTGCGAGAAAGTCAGTATAGGTGAACAATAGCAACCAACTAATCAACATCGTGATAAACAACCTGATATTGATTATACTGTCAATGATCAAAACTGGCTTTTAATGAGACAAATATAGCTGGTGGTTAAATAAAAAGTTACTAACAGGAAAGCAATAATCATAACCACCAAAACTGTAACAAGCAATTAATTGAAAAAATTCCACAATTCAAAACCATTCCGACACATCCTTTTAAAAAATATAAAGTCAAAGTCAACTTTATTGTCAAATATGCCATACGTACAGGACATACATCCTTTTTCAAAGTCAAAAGTCAAAGTCAACTTTATTGTCAAATATGCCATACGTACAGGACATATGGCACAATGAAATTGCAGCCCTCTCAGACCCACAGTGCAAAGAATATAATAAAGGAGATATTTACAAGGGAAAGGGATATAAACTAACAGTATAAGTACAATGTACAATGAAACACACTGGTGAAAATATATCCTGAAAAACATGTGCTGTGACATTACTCAGTAATTACAAACAGGCAGAACAGATCCTTTAAAATACTGAACCACATCAGGCTATATTATAACATGTTTCATTTGTTTATACCTTATTTTTGCAGCACTGTAGGCTATCGAAGGGAATTTGCCTCTTCAGCATGGTTGAAAAGTCCGACATTTTTTCTGCCTCACGTCTGTACCACAACTGCAGCCGTTGACAAGATGTTGGACGACGCTGTGTTCGGTGGATATTTTTGGCATTTTCTTATTACAAATTTCTCCATTCTATTGTCTAAATCAACAACTATGCTAGCTTTAGCTGCAAGTTGACGCTGAGCCTTTTGGCAGAACATGAAATGTTTTGTTATATTTATGAACACAGATACTAGAAGATGTATCATTTAATAACCCGCCCAAAAAAGTGAACTAATTGCAACTAAATGCACCTTATTACTGACTTCAGATACCACACATAAACATGAAAACGTAATTATCTCCTTGGTCATGAATTTGTAATTTTGTTCTCTCTTAACTATCAAGAAGTTCATATGGTCTTCTGTAACCAAAAAGCTTGAAGTCAATCTCATAGATCTTGTAGAGTTTCCTCCTGTCCTCTAGAGGCACTGTTCTGAACCAGCTCTCCAAATATTTGGTGGTTGTCACATTTTCAGAGGCAGGTAGTAACATGATGGAATCTTGCAGTTTCATCGTCTTCAGCAGATGATGAAAATCCTCCTGCATCGTCTCCAGATGTCCAATTAAATCAAAGCTGTAGAACAATGTTAAATTAATTCACAGTTGGACATCAGAGGTTTGATTATAGGAATGGGAATAAGTGAGGTGCAAAGTGTCACTTCTGTTTAAAAAAATATGATCTTACTCTACGAGGCAGGGATTACACAAGCGGTGCATCTGTCTCCAGTGTGTATCAAATGGCTTTTGCTTCTCTGTTCGTGGATCCACCAAGTACTGAATGAAATTTTCAAAGGATGGAACCAATCCCTGTGCGTTTCCCTCTTCAACTGTCTCTGGTGGATTTGTGTGGTTAGCATAGAGACTAGAATATCCCGTACAAATGTGGTATAAAAATAGGAATCCCGGTGCCTAATTTTGTCAACGTAGGCAGAAATGATTCGTACAAATGGATGACGGACAAACATGAACTTGGTGTAGTGCTTCAGTTTTGCCTGTAATCAACAAAAAGAACACATGAAAGCTGAGTCACTGTCAAAGATATACAATGCATGTGACCCTTTTACACATACTGACCTCGATTTTAGAACTTGAATGTAGTGCCAGATGAGTTAGGTTTCCAAGTAAGTGAATATCTCCTTGTATTTCCCTAGGGTCACTGTAGGGTTCACCATGTTTTAGTACAAACATGAATTTCTTCAGGTTCGTACATGCTGCCTGTAGAAGTAAATAAGTGTCATTTTGCAAAATATAAAATAAAATAAAAAATGAAATCAGAGGTTTCAAACTCCTGGCCTACATACACCAACTAGGGGGTAACAATAATTTAAATTTACCCTTGAAGAATTTTACCAAAAAATATGTGCACAATTTGTGTTTTTTTTTCTGTCTGAACTACCTTGGGGACATAGCAGTAGATGAGACAATGGTCATCGTCCACCAGAAAATTCCAATGTCTGATGTCCTTCAATGACATAGTTTCATCATTGCACATGTCTTTTATCAGCTGCTTTCTCTCTTCCTGCACCTGCTGCCACCTGTCTTCTCCTGGGAAAAGATATGACAACACAAGTGAGCAACCAAGCACAGTGTGAGGAACAAATGTAATGAGGTTTCATAAAAGCTGCAGTACATTTCCACTGCCACAAGGACATTATTAGATGTAAAGTGTGGGAGGGCGGAGGTCCAGTTCGGGAACCACTAGATTTCATCTTTGCTTTTTGTTGACAATGTCGTCTTTTTGGCTCTTTTGAGCCAGGACCTGCAGCATGCACTCGGGCAGTCTGCAGCCAAGAGTGAAGCCACTGGGATGAGAATCAGCACCTCTATGTCTGAGGCCATTGTTCTTGACCGGGGGGTGCAATTCACACCCTCCAGGTCGGCGGAGAGATCCTGCCTCAGGTGGAGTTTAAGTTCCTGGGGTTGTACTAAGTGAGGGAAAGTTGGGGAAAGACGCGGTCGCTATATCGGTCTATCGAGAGGAGCCAGCTGAGGTGGCTTGGGCATTTACATTGTATGCCCCAGAGACAGAGATGGACAGGCCTGGGAATGCCTTGGGATTATCCCAGTAGAGCTGTAGGAAGTGTCTGGGGAGAGAGAAGTCTAAGTGTCCCTGCTCAGACTGTTAGCCCCACAACCCAGCCCAGGATAAGTGGACAATGATGGATGGATCATACACATTAGATGTCTTTAGTAATCATGAAGATAAGAAAAAAAGGCAAAAAAGAGACTGCACTAGACTAGTATCAGCTTGTTTGTGTATATACGTATATATATATATATATATATGTATATACACAAACAAGCTCATACTAGTCTAGTGCAGTCTCTTTTTTGCCTTTTTTTCTTTATATATATATATATAGTCTCGTTTGTGTTTGCGTGTATGCGTGTAGGAATGACAAAATCTAAATGTTGATCATCATGGTTGTGGTTTGTAATGATTAAATTAGTGTAATCCACAGCTACCTTATTTTTAATCTTTTGATTGAAAGTGCTGTATAAAAAGAGACATACAGAACATGTTGTTCAAACTTGCAGAAAACGCTGTATTGCCTCAAGTCTTTATTGTGGGCTTACCTCTACAATAAGCTACTTTTCAAAGACTTAAAGATTTTAAGTTTGCCACATGTGAAGAAGCAGTCAGGACCCAAAAGCAGTACTTAGGAGACTCTTAAGTGCAGAAAATTCATTCAAGTCCAAAATCACAAAACTTACTGGGTAGCAGGAACAAGGAACTCGGAACGAAGACACAAGCAACGAAGAGCAGACCACCACACAGCCACAACGAACATGACCACTGACCAATGATTCCACAGAGACTGAGTGAGGGAGGTAAACATACATAGAGCACCAGGTGACGCGAGAGAGTCTAATGACAGAGACAGAGAGTGTGATGATACTGATTAACCCTAGAACACACAGCAGGAAAGGGGAGAAAGACATACCTCACAAAAGACTAATTATGTCCTACCGAAGACCTAAAACAACCTATGCTGTTTTCTCACTGGCACTCGCTGCAGCAACAGCTAAACTCTATTATCCTGCTCTGCCTGTATATACAGTGCATATTTATTCTATACTGTGCATCTGTATATTTATATACTTACCTATTCATCGTACCAAAACAAAGTTTACTGCTTATCTAAACATACTTATACACATCTTTGCATTTATTATACCATAATGGGTTTGGTTGTGCTTTTTCTAATTAACTCATTGTTTTCCTATTGCCTCTGTATGTAATTGCTGCTGCTACACTGCTATTTCCCAGCCTGGTATCATTAAAGTCCATCCATACATCCACATTCACATTTACACTACAAATAATCCACACTCACAGCTCAACTAGTACACAAGTAACCCTGTGTAACACAACACAGTAACAACAATTTTGGAAACCTTGCGCCTTCTGACCATGCTGGAGAAGCTAATTTGGCTGTTAGCTATGCTGCAGTTCTCTCACAGTCACCACGCCTCCTTACTCCCCCTCAAATACTCGTAAACAGTTAACCCCTTCTTTACAACATGAACATAACATCATAACTATTACAGTATGTTAGAGTGTGGTTGACACAGTGCCACATACAGGCCTGGCATATGTACTGCAGGGACCAGAGTCGTAGTCTACATCTCTGTTTACATTGTTTGGATCGAGGTAAATGTTCTGGATCCGGAGGCTACTGTAGTTGTTTCTTTGCTGTGTAAACAGGGCCTCAGTTAATATTAGGGATGCCGATAATATCGTCTTGTTATTGGCATTATTATTTCATATCTGTAAGAATGGTTATCGGTTACCGATATTAAAAACACAATAATACAATGCCTGGGTTTCGCGAATGATGTGTGCTCTAAAAATAGCTTAATGCCCCAGTCAGGTGCCTCAGTGCACACAATTTCAGTAAATTCTAAACTCCTTTATTGCTCTCAACCCAGCTTCTCCAAAATCACCTTTTCCTTCTCTAACACTCTCGGCACACTCTTTTCCTCATTCACACACACACACACTCTCACCACGCCTCCACCACCCACCCTACCCATAACTGTTAACTCCATCATAACACATGAACACAGAACGCATTGTACAACAAACAATCCTGTAGTCACTAGATGGCAGCATTGCAGCTCATTTCATTAATTATTTCTAATAATCAGGGGACTGTGATCAGAATGCTGGTGCCAGTAACTCAGTGGTTACAGTGGTTTTTCCAGCTAAACAAATATTACCAGGTGCTCGATAGTATTTCAAAATGGTAGGGTCAAGGGGCCGTGAAAAAACTTCTGTCCTCTAGGGGCGGCATGGCAGAAAACCCATCACTTTAGTGAGCCGGTGACACTTAACATCTTTAACCACCAGGCCCGCAGTATCGCTATTTGTTGATATCGGAATCAGAAATGAAGCATTTAGACCTATCGGCATATTAGATATTGAGAAAAAGTGAATATCGGACATCTCTAGTTAATATGGTTTTCGATCCCATAGTAGTTAAAGCACCACAAATACACTTTTGTTTACACTGATTTTTAATTCAGGATTTGCTGCGCACTTGATACCTGTTTTGTTCACATTCAGAAGGGGGATTGAGCGCACATTTATTATTAAAAATTGCTAATCTGACACATGTTGTCATGTGATCAGTAGTGTATGGCTTCGCACACAAATTACCAAATTAACATGTTGTCGTGTGATCAGTAGTGAATGGCTTCGCACACAAATTACCAAATTAACAAACCTGAACTGAAACTAGTTTTGCAGCGAATACATTATAAAGCACCAGTGAGAAAACAATAATTGAGATAGCGGAGAGAACTATAGAGACAGGTTCAATTTTCCTGAATCAACTTGGGGACAAAACAGTAAATGTCTTAGTAAGCTAAATGTGGCCAAAGAGAGAATGGTAACTAAAACTGACAAATAAAAATGAAATCTTCATAGTCAAATGAATCACAGACATTTATATCAATAATGAATCAACAAAATCAGCACATGACACAACACTATGTTATTTGCAGCTATTCTTATTTGGCCTTAAAATAAGGTAACGACTCATTAAAACCAAACTTTCATGCCATTATTTTGACGTTGTTCCACACACACCTGCCATTTTGCCAGGATGTAAACTGATTGCAAAAATAGCTTGAAAAAAGATCAACTTAGATGGACACATTACCTGTTAAGGTGTTTGGCATATCCCATGCATAGATGCAAAACAAGACAACAAAAGTGGATATAAAAAGTCCACAAATCAGCAACTTCTGGACACACTGATGTTGACTCTTTGGAATCATGGCAGCTGGAATTATAATGTGTTGAAGTAAAGAATCACTGAAAAACAGAGAAAACTTTTAACAATCACACCAACAACAAAGCATATCATGTGAACTTCATTCTCTGAACCAAACAAAGTTTAGACAACAATAGAATGCATATTTGCATTACCCAAACAATTCTTGAAAACCATGACTGACCTTCTCCAATAGTTTTTCTGGAAATAAGGTGTAGGTATCAACAAACCTCTTTGTCGTAAGCTCCACCAAAGGCTTTAGAGCTGTGCCACTCTTGCTCTCTCCTTGGTTAAACCCACAGCCAAACCCAGTAAAATACGTAGCATACCAGCAGTTTTCACAGCAGATTAAAGGAGGAAGAAGAGAACTAGATCAGGTTGTGTTTAGCAGTAATAAAACTGAACCCATGTACACAGAACCAGACTGGGACTCATTTTCCAGCCCTCGAGTTTGATATCTGATACCTATTAGGTTAACAGGGCGTTTAATCCATGAACATCAACACCTAAAGTTAGTCTGTGTTAAGGTGCTCCTGAGTCCGGTTTTTCTGGTTTATCTTTTGAAATGAAAAGGCTGCCACAAAAGTAGAATGTCATGGTGAATCGCCTGTCCTTCTGCATTCCTCTCTTTAACAACTAATCTAACTGCAGGTTATTTTCTCAACACTGTAGGTGTGGCCAGATACTTTTTGCTGTGGCTTTTTGCAATTGCTGTGGGTACAAGGAAACAAAATAACATGTAAAATACAGTGGTCTTCAGATTTAAGAACTTGTAAATAGAATAAAATTTGAATCAAAGGGTTTTTGGGCTTAAAACACTGCAGTGAGGAGTTCAGAAATACCCTGACTTGGATTCATTGGAGTTTAATTTTAATAATCAGAGTTTGTGCCATTATACGAATAATACTAAATCCATTTGAGAGGTTTGCTGAAAAACAATAGGCAGGAATATTTATATTGGCTTGCCTAGAAAATAAAAATTATTCTACTATTACTACTTATTGGGATTTTATTTACAACTTACAAATAAAAGCCAACATATAAAGCCTCACAAAATGAATGGACATTAATATAATTTTAACTTTCAAGATGTTTATCTGGCCTTGCATTAATATAATATTACATTTATTAAATTATTAAACTTAACTTTCAAGATGTTTATCTGGCCTTCTGTAACCAAAACCTCCTGTCCTCTAGAGGCACTGTTCTGAACCAGCTCAGGTATCAACAAACCTGTTTGTCGTAAGCTCCACCAAAGGCTTTAGAGCTGTGTCACTCTTGCTCTCTCCTATTAGGGGAGGGGGCTTGGTTAAACCCACAGCCAAACCCACCCAGTAAAATACCAGGCATACCAACAGTTCTTAGAGCAGATTAAAGGAGGAGGAAAAAATTATATTGTTCCTGGGAATTGATACAGTTCAAATTTTGTCTTGTCAACAAAGAACTAGATCAGGTTGTGTTTAGCAGTTAAAAAATTTAAAAAAAATTAAACCCATGTACACAGAACCAGACTGGGACTCATTTTCCAGCCCTTGAGTTTGATGTCTGATACCTATTAGGTTAAAATAACGTGCAATCCATGAACATGGGCACCTTAAGTTTAGTCCGTGTTAAGGTGCTCCTGAGTCAGGTTTTTCTGGTTTATCTTTTCCCTTTGAGGTAGCAG